ATTTCTGTCTTCTAGTTCTTCCCTCTCTAGCTCAGTGCCTCCTCATGCACACTCTCCCCCTCATCCTTAGTCTTTCCTCCCTGCCTCTCAGCACGTCTTTGGTTGTCCCAACAATCAGTCTCCTCTCTGTTCTTCTCTGCCTCCAGGCCTCCCATGTTACTCCACCAACCGCTCTGACCTACAGTCCTGCTGTTTCCTTTAAGCTCCCTACAGTGTATGAACACAACAGGTCTCGGCTTGTCCTCTCTGCGAGTTGCCGTTTCTTCATAAATCCGTGGGGTTTGTTCCTTAACCTTTAATCTTCAGTGTTCAGAAAGAACAGTTTTTACAAAGGCAAAATGAGCTGGGATGTGGTAGAACTTTTGCCTGTCTATGGCGCATGGCATGCTGGGCTCGATCTCCAGCACCAAATTAGCCTCCAGGTGTGGTGATGTAAGGCTGGGACACCACCATCACTCTGGAGGTGGAGGTGGGGATCAGAAGTTCAGTCATCTTCAGCTACACAAAGCAAGTGTGAGGGCAGCCTGGGATACAAGAAAAAAAAAATGTTTAGTTGCCAGTGGTCTGGCCCTTCTTTATCCCTTTTATCCAGCTCGATGTTTTATTCCTTTTCCAGGAACTATGGGAAGTATTTAGATTAAAAAAAAAATAGATGTGTGAATACTTTGCCTATTTGTGTGTACATGCACTGTGCATGTGCCTAATGTCCATGGAGGTCCGAAGAGGGTATGAGGTCCCCTGGAACTAGAGTTATAGATGATAGTTAGCTACCATGTAGGAAGCAAAGCTGGGTCTTCTCCAAGAGCAACAAGTATTCTGAACTGCTGAGCCATTTCTTCAGGTCCTAACTATGAGAAGTATCATACATACATATATGCATACATACAGTTTGCTGTCCCTCTAACTAGAAAGTAAGCTCCAGTAAGCTTGGGATTAATCTCTCTTTCTTTGCTAAACACTAAATTCTACCAACAGCGTACATTGTAATTACTTGTGACAATAATTCATTAATTAATTTTGCTAGATCTTCTTTAAAACTGTACCAAGGATTTGGTGACTTCTCATGCTTCAGTGGTCTCACTTTTGAGCCACGACTGACTTGTCTAAGCAGCCTCTTAAAGGGTGCTTTCTGCCACATGCTCATTTCCACTTAGCAGACAGGAGATTCCATTAAATATGGGGCCAGCTATTCCCTTCGTGGTTCAGGACACACTCCCAACTCCATCTCACTCAAAGTAAAATCTAGAGCATTTCAAGTGGCCTTTGAAACTCCGCATAACCCAACCCCGTTGCCGCCACAATTTCATTCCATACCCCCTCACTCTTGGGCTTGTTCCAGCCCCACTAATTGCTTTATTTCACAAGTTTGTCAGCTGCCCCCTCAGAGTCCAAGCTTTCATTAGGACGCTCTATCCCCAAGCAGTGGCAAGTCAATCACCTCCAACAACCATATGGAACTTTTCTATATGTAAAGAGGCAGCCTACAGCATGGGAAAAAACCTGTTTACTGGCTATACATCTGAAAGAAGATTAGTATCAAAAATAATAAGAAACCTAAAAATCTAAATGCCAAGAAAACAAATGACAATTAAAAATCAGGGCATAGAACTAAAACAGAATTTTCAAAAGAAGTACAAGTGGCAGAGAAATATTTTTTAAATGTTCGACATCCTTAGCCATCAGGAAAATGTAAATTAAATCTGCTTTGTGATTTCATCTTACTCCACCCAGAATGGCTAAAATTAAAAAGAAAAAAAGGGCAACAAATGTTGGCATGCATGTGGGGAAAGGAGAGTAGACTGGTACAACCACTATGGAAATCAGCGTAGAGTTTCCTCAAATGACTAGAAATAGATCTATCACATGATCCAGATACACCACTCTCAGGCAAATGCTCAGAGAACCCTACCATCTACTATAGAGATACTTGTTCATATATCTTCATTGTTGCTTTAATCACAACAGCCAGGAAATAGAAACAGCCTGGAAGTCCATCAGCTGATGAATGGATAACAAAGTAGTGGTACATTTTTGCAATGATATATTACTTAGTTGTAAAGAAAAAAATGCAATTATGAAATTCACTAGTAAGTGGATGAAGCTAGAAATAGTCATCCCTGATGAGGTAACCAGAAAGACAAATATGCTTTGTCTCATGTGGATGTTAGATTTGAATCTTTAGATGTTTGTTTAAGTTAGAATATCCAGAGAAGTCAGGAAACTAGCAAGGTGACATGAGAGGGTGGCCTCAAGGGAAAGGGGATAAAACAGAAGTGGTATGAAGGGGGTTATATGCCCTGGCCAGCAGGGCTCCCGACCACCTAAAGGATGGAATGAAAAGGCCAGGAGACACAAAGCAAGACAGCAAGACAGGGTTTTAATCAAGCTGCAAAATTTTATTTTTTTCATGAGGGCTTATATAGCTCTTGGAGGGTGGGGGAAGGCAGGAAATCTTTATTCTAACTAGCTCAGGCTTGTGCAGCTGCAGGGCGTCTGTGCAGGATGTTGGCAGGGTGAGGAGGTTAGTGGTCAGGGTCCCTTGCTTGGTTGCTAAGCTACCTCATCACGAGATGTCCTAACTAGGTATTTACTGAAGAACTGACATTTCTTATGAAACGCTGGTTCTCTGAGGCAACCATCGTCGCAGGGCCAAGTTCCTTGTGGACAACTGAGGGGACAGAATGGCCCCGGGCCCTGGCAGTTCTAGAAATAAAGAACAGAAAGGGCTAAAGGAAGTGGGGGGTAGGGGCAAGGTAGAGGAAGGAGAATGTGGAGGTACAGCCACCATTAGAGAACGGTGTATAAAAGCCGGCTACTGTATGAGTCCTCCACCTCCTCCTCTTTCTCCTGCTCCTCTTCCTCTTTTTCTCTTTTTTGGTTTTGTGAGACAGGGGTTCTTTGTATAACAGCCCTGGCTCTCTTGGAACTTGCTCTGTACACCAAGCTAGCCTTGAACTCATAGAGATCTCCCTCCCTCTGCTTCCCGAGAGCCAGGATTAAAGGCATGCACTACAACACCCAGCTTTGTATGAGTGTTCTTAATTATATGTGTATACATATACACATACACAAATATATAAATTAAAGCCATTTAAAAGGAGAACCAGGGTGTTCTAAGGACTTTGGCCTCCACAGGCACCCACCTAACTCACGTGCACATGCACATACACACATATATACATAATTAAAATATGTCAAAATAAAATAAATTCTTTAAAAAGTAAAACAAATAAAATAAATGTTTTCATCCTGCATTTAATTTTTCACAATGATTGTATCAAATTTTTCAGAATTTATAATCTGCTCAATAAATCAAGATGATGTAATAGTTTATTTTTATATAGATAAAATAAGTTTATATTATACGTTTCTGTAAGAGAAAGCCTAACTTACAAGACAATCAGGAGAGTGTACAGCATACTTGTTATTTCCATGGAATGGAATCAAGGACTGAGACTGGAGCTATATACACTATAAATCCACAAATGCTGGGAGCAGAGTCTGGAAAAGACAACGAAATGAGGAGTAAACACGAAAAACTTTCCACTTGGACCCACTGGCTGGAGTCGGAACCGGTACTGGATCACACAGTGCCAGGACAAGACAAAGACAGTGGAGCTGGGAAGGAACCACAGGTGCGGTCAACACTAGGTAGATCCCTGGTCATGTTTACTTACAAACCAGATAGTTCTGTTTCTTAGAAATGTACACAAGAAGAAGATTTGACCATTATTTATGAATCTGTCTGCAATACTGACATCAGAAATAGAAGCTCTCTCAGAATCAGACCTGTTTTGTTATTTTAACCAGGAACAGCATACAGCTTCCAGAACAATCCTAGAGGTTGGGTTGTGGGTGGGGTGGACACCAGACATCTGGAGAGTCTGATTGCTTCCACCCGGTCATCTTCACAAAGTGGAGCATTTTTGATGCACAAAGGCTAAGGAACAGGTGGTGGTGGGGACCAGGATAAGAGGCTACTGGGCCAGGGGTTCTCCAGGCACTGAATGAGCTGGGGAGGGGGTTGGACAGGGCACGATATTTTCAGAAATCAGCCTGGCTGACTCTCCCCACACACGAAAAAGCTGCCAAGGTGGAGTGTTTTCGTTTTAAAATTCCTCATGGGGACAGGAAATTCCTGAAAGGAGTACATTAAAACAACAACCAAAGAACAAAAAACAGCAGTGGAAATGAGTAAGGAGAGAGGGAGATGGACAAAGTTTTCAACATTTCTGAAGGTTGTAGCGATGAATTACGAAAATGAGAGCCCAGGGACAGTTTATCCTGCTGTCCTGCCCCGCGGGACTTAGCGGACCTGCAGCAGGAAATTCTTCCTGACTGGTACGCTTCAGGTTGCAGAGCCTGGGGCCCCACACAATCCCGGGAGAAGGCGGAGGGCACTGCTGGGGCACGGGAGCAGAGACGTCACAGGCAGGGGCAGCTGGTCTGCTATTGTCCACTCTTCTCGCTTTCCCCAGTGAACCGACTGGGTTTGGTAGACGGTGCCAGCTCACCAAGACTCCCCACCAGAGTCATGAGAATCACCCCCTCTCCGCTGGGCTGCTGTGGCTCGAGGGCACGATGTCTTACTATTTTTTTTTTCTTTATGTATGCTACTGGATTTATTTCTTTGTCTAGGACTAGGGTCCAAGATGCCTTTTCTCGTTGGTGCGATTGTAAAGAGCAAATGGTGAAAGGTGTCCTGGTGTGGTTCTCACACCTTCGGTCCAGTGTACTTTGATAAAAGGTTTGTCTGCTGCTCACTGGAACCTTGGTTGCTCTTGCTAGCCCTCCACTTTGGTTGGTGTCATCATTTATTTCCTATCGCTCACGTATACACACACACACACACACACACACACACACACACACACACACACAAGCATGCCAGAACCATTCTTCACCCTTTTAAAAGTATCAGCAATTATATAGGAAGAGCAACTATTGTTCGAGCTTAGAATAAAAATAGTTATGAAAAGTGTGTATGAAAACTATGAAGTTTTCAAAATTAGGGAGAACGACATTTGAAACTTCAGGGCTCAACTCAGTTAAGGGTAAAATGACTAAACTCAGTTCCGCATCGTTGGCTTGAATTTTCTTTCTACTGAAAACAGCCTTCGAAACCAAAGCAAAGCAAGGCATCCTGAGTGCTCAGGCCGAGCTCGCCACCCACGCTCCTTCCCAAACAACAGCCACCAAAACAAAACAAAAACAAAACAACAGCAGCAACAAATGGCTGGGGGGGGGGGAGTAGGGCGTGGTTATTCACACAAGTTATTCTAGCACTTTGGGAAGCAGCCGCTGGAGGACTGGCGCTCATTTAAGGCTCCCCAGGACTACTGAATCATTTCCAGGCCAGACTGCTTTGGGGCAGATGGTCTACGACAGAGGTCATGGAGGCCCGAGAAAGGAAACAAACCAAAAAAGAAAAAAAAAAAAAAGAAAAAGAAAAAAGAAAAGAAAAGAAAAAAAAGAAAGAAAGAAAGAAAAAGAAACACGGAGAGCGCGCACTTGCCACCGATGTTCGTTCCTTAAAGAGTCGATATCCCTTTAACCCCCACTTGAATGGCCTTCGCCCCAGGGCGTCTGTCCTAGAAGCAGAACCGCTGGTCGAGCCCGCAGACTGCTGACTCCCGCTCAGCATGCGTCCTTTGGAGCGCAGCAGCCTGTGCGCACTGAGGGCAGGCTCAGGACACCACTCAGTTTTGTACTCGACAGCCGCTACTGTCCTGGAGCAGAACCGCTCTTCTGGAGCCGGGGGAGGGGAAGAGTCCTCCCGCGGCAGGAAGCAGGCGAGATGGGGAAGCATCCTAGGATGTCTGAGAAGCAGGTCTCAGGGCTGTTACCCCACGCCTGCTCTTTCCACACTCCCGCTCCACTACACTGCACCCCAGACAAAGCCAGCTGATTCCTGTTCAGAATAATCTTCTGGAAAGAAGAAAACATCAGAAATTCCGTTTGTCAGACACCCAGAGGATCTTCGTGGTCCCCTTCAGGAAGACCAGAGAATCCGCAGAAATTAGGTTGCACATCTTTTGCTTTACCCTCGTTTACTGAATTAAAGGACTAAGCCACCTACCATGAAAGTGTGGGCACTCTGGAATCCAGAGACAATGATCAGGACCGCACAGGCTTACTCTTCAGGAAAGAGAAAGGAGCCAGATAGTGAAGTATAATAAAATCGGCAAGTGAAGCCTCGTGCGGTGGTTCATTCTGGAGATTGAGGCAGGAGAAATAACTACGAGTTCACTGCCAGTGTGGGCTACAAAGAGTATAAGACTGGGTCTCAAAATAAAATAAAATAAAGTTAGAAAAAAAAAAAACACTGCGAAATGAAGCAGCAGACATACAAACCCTAGTGGCCTCCCGATGCCGAGGAACCGCTGGGTTCTCTCTTCCTGAAGGGAGAGGAGTCCTCAGGCTCCAGGGCTTCTCCACAACCCCATTTATACCTTAAGCGCTTGCAACCAGCTTCTTCCTGATCCTTCTCAAGGTCTCCGGATTCTGGGTTGGAAGGGGGAAGCGTCTCTGGTGGATGTTGGAACAGGCAAGTTTAAGAGGCATTTCCTCCAGGATAAGAGAAGTTCCTTTTTGCTGAAACCGCTCTGTAAACTTAGCCCTGCTCTGTGGAGAGAGGAGACTCAGGAAGACTCGTAAAAGCAATGCTGCCTGGCGGCTGTCAAGACTAGCTGAACAAAAATCTTTTGGCAAGGGAAGAAGCGTTTTCTTTAAAAGCACGAACACGAATATTTATTTGTTCTTATAGAATTTTTAGAAAGTTGAGTCCTCATGTGGTTGGCTAGAGGGTGGCGCTAAGAACGCTAAGGTTGCAGCTCCATCCCCTGCACGGGCCGGAGGTAGTGTCTACAGACCTTTTCTGTCCTATTAAAAATCTCCGTGCAGCTATTCCACACCCAGGCACACACTGCAAAGAAAGGTCTAAAGCTGCAATGAAATGCTGAGTCTTTTCTTAATTCTCTGCCTGAACACCTACTCATTTTATCATTGACCCCTTTCCCTTCCCTTTTCTTTCCCTTCCCCCTTCCCTTTCCCCCTCCCCCCCTTTTCACCTTACCCCCTTTCTTTCCTCTTCCTCTTTCCTCTTCCTCTGTCCTGTTTCCCTTTTCCACTACCAACTGACTCCCATGATAATTTCTGTTCATGATGATGCCCCTGCCCCATCCCCAGGGCACTGAACAGTTCTGAAGACAGAGTAAAACATTCAGTAAACATGTGTGAAAAGATTGACCGTGGGTGTGTTTTTAAAAATCCTGTTTGGACACCTGGGTGGAGGTCGGAGGAAAGCTGTCCAGATCGCCCTCTCCTTCTACTGTGCAGGACCTGGGGTTTGATGTAGGTCCTCAGGCTTGGCGGCAGGTGCCTTTACCTGTTGACATTTTGTTGGCTCTTTGGGTATTTATTTTTAAAACATTTCATGTAGGTACTGGGAATCAACCTGCTGGCCTCTGGAACTACACCTAACTGCTGAAGCATCTCTCCAGCCCCTTGAGTGCATTTTTAAACATCAGAATTTTTTTGTTGCTGTTGTTACATCTAGTAAAACACATATGTAAAGGAACCAACACTTTAAAGGTTACCATTTACTGCATAACATTGAGGATATACCACGTCATAGAACACACAGAATTGCAGGTAAGAGCAACATAAATGACAAAGATAATGCCTGAATAAAACAGAACTTAGACTTCTCATATTTGACAAAGGGCATTTGTCACTGTTTAATCATCCCTAACTCAAGGTATTTAACACATCTTGTTTCCATAATTTTCTCTGCACAAAATATTCCCCACAGTGGGGCATCCTAGCCTGTGCCTGTACTTCCCTTAGTTGAGAGGTAAACATAGATAGATACCTGTAAGTTTCAGGCCAGCCAGAGATACACGACCCTATCTCAAAAAAAAAAAAAAAAAAAAAAAATAAAAAAAAAACCACAAATAAACAAAACCCAAACAAACAAGCAAAACACCCAACCAGTCTAGTGAAGTCATAAATAAATAAAAACCTAACTTTTCATTACAATAACGTGATTTTCTTTATTTTAAAAAATTTCTTGAACATTTATTTTTAAAAATTGTGTGTGTGTCTGCGTGTGAGTGCAGGAGCTATGTGACCTGGGTTCTGAGAATTAAACTCTCAACAAATGCTCTTAATTGCTGAGCCATCTCCCCATCACTAATTATTTTTAAAGGAAAAACACTTTTTAAAATTAGTGATGTGGAAACAGTATTGCTACAGAGACTGTCTCAAAAACAGTATCACTAAAAATAAAAAAACCAAACAAACCAAAACAACAAAAAACCCAAAGCATAAATGACACTGAAGAAGAAAGTCCGAAACAATTCGCTTGAGTCTGCACTGTTACATCTCTGCTTCCATTTCTGTGAACGACCTATTTTGCTGGTCAGTAGTTAAAATGCAGCTGCGCTGGGCAAAAACCTGTTTCCGCCCGGTTTCGAACCGGGGACCTTTCGCGTGTTAGGCGAATGTGATAACCACTACACTACGGAAACACCTTGTGGTGTCCCTTGGCTTTTCTCAACTAGATAAAAATGGATCTTACTCTCTGGGCCATGGTGGCACACACCTTTAATCCCAGAATTTAGCAGACAGAGGTAAATGGATCTCTGAGTTGGAGGCCAGCCTGGTCTACACAGTGAGTTCCATCCAGGACAGCCAGGGATACAGAGAAACGCCGTCTCAAAAAACCAATAACAAAAAACAAACAAACCCCAAATAACCAACCAAGCAACAAAGATCCTATGGTCTTCATTCTTTTGATTCTTAAATTTGTGGCGAAACCCAAAGACTAACCGCGAAACAGGTAAGGGCCCTGTACAACTGCAATTCTTTCTACGCAAGCTCCGGGCAGAGAAACCTCAGGTCGACTCCTGGGAAATTTTATTTAAAGGAATTTCCTTATGTTTTGCATGCTCCTTTCTCGGGTTGAGTGAGCCTCTCTTATCTTCCTACCCTTAGGCTAAAACGCCATGCTGAATTTTCATCCTAACACTTTCAGAAATTGCTCAGTGAGACACTTCCTTGAGGATCGACAGGAAAGACCAAGTTATTTATTGTTCGCAAGAGGATGTAAGATAAACGACTCGGGTGTGTCTGAGTAGCTTCAAGTCAGGACAGGAAAACTTTATTCAGTATAAGCAATTACCAGTGAACAAATATCTGTGCTCTGATAATAAATGTGTACACACACACACACACACACACACACACACACACACACACACAATTTTGTCACCTATTTGTTCCCCGGTGATGAACAATCACACAGCAAAGCAGAGCTAAACCTAACTATAATGATGGCAAACTGAGTAGAGCCTTTGCTTTGTCTGCATCACATTGCAGTCCGTAGAACACAAGTGTTGAAAAGCGTAAACACACAAAGACCAAAAGATGAGACGGTAAAAGCAGTAAAATCATCTACGTGGAGCACAGAGAATGGTAATAAGGTGACATCTTACCATGTGAAGTTGTTTTTGAACTTTCTAAGGTTTACATGTGCTGTTACGTGTACTCTATTACTTTTCACAGCTGCATAATATTTCTCACTCTTTAGCTATTTACTATCCAGCCATGGCACTAAGGCTGAATCCAAACTTTGAAAGATCAATATTAATACTGCTATTAATATCCACCTACATGTGACACTGTATCTTTGAATATTGTGTGTGAAAGTCATTCCAAACTATGAGAAGAATCTCTAGATAACTGGACAGAAGGAGCTTTCTTTTTGAGACAGGGTATCATGTAGCCATTTCATTGCTTGGATTGCAGGTGGGCACCACCACCGGGTATGGGTATTGTAAACTTGATTATAAAGTTTTGGAGTGCTTTCCTGAGTGATTGTATCAGTGTAGCACTCACCAGCAGATATGAGAGCTGTTACAGCTTAATGCCTCTTATTATTCACACATTCAAGTTTCTAATTCCAAAATTGTTCATGCACAAGTATGTATCTATATATTTTATTAATTTTGCTATGTATGGGTATTTAAATTCTAAAAACTTTATTTTTAGTTATATGTGTATATGTGTTATATGTGTATATGTGAGTGCAGTTCGTCATGATTTTTGAGAGTCGTGCTCATCCATGTCAGAGGTTTTTCTTCTATTTTCAGCAAGAATGTGAAAACTTCTCTGAGTAGGTAATACTGTGAACTCTATAATTTCTTTCTTCTCCTCACTTAGATCCAGCAATTCATTATAAAACAGAGTTTTATCTCCTTGGGAAATGTCCCCCCTCTCGCCTGGGGAGCTCGTCTTTATTTTATGAGTGTGGATGAAAGCTCGGATCCCATTTCTGCCTGGATGCTTTTCCTTGGATTTCAGACTATTTTGATTATCAGGAGACCTCAGCTCATATATGGTTCAAGAAGTGAAAATAATGCATCTCTCAGTTATCCGCACTCTTTAACCCAGGAGGGGCACGCTCCAGGTTTCAACACAGCCCTGCGCTGGATAGTGAAAACTATGTGACCGGCTTCATGGTCAGTCAGTCTGGTAATTTTGCTGGATTTACAGGCAGTTTAGCCTGAAGAAAATGGACACACAGGGGGAGGCGAGGAAGAGAATCACCACGAAATATCCAAAGTGTCTTGAGGGAGACCAGAGTGACTACACGTAGCGACGCTACACACAAATACCCTCGCTGTGGAATCTGTGGTCAGCGGCCGTTCTCCAACACGAGAAAATCAGAGGCGCCCCAAGCCTTCTCCCGTCTCAAGTCGTCCATCGTAATCGAGCATGGATTGAGCACCGTCTGGGTGTCATGTAACTTCATTCTTTTAATCCCAGCACAGGCTGAAACTCAAACTATGCGATATGGATAAGCTTTCGGAAGGAGAATACAGTGCATACCTCAATTTAAATTTAAGTCGTCTGTGTTCTTTCTGGGTTTCACCTTGAGGTCCTTTGCAAGCACCCTCTCCCTGTTCCATGTCCCAAGCCTCACGTCCAGGAAAACTTTAGAAGGCAGACCCTCCCCCCCCTCCCCGCCCAGACACTGCCCTAAAGCTGCACTTCTGAGTCTTCCTACACCCCCTGGCTCTTAATTTTGTCTGGGATCGCTTTCACATATGAACAGTTTCTCAGACCGCTTTCTTGATTCCGTATCTGTCCCTTCTCTTGCGTCTTTGAGGTGCTCAGGGACCTAAGAAGTGTAGCCAGCGACGGAGGCCGCCCAGGGCAGGGCCGGGGGTGGTGTGGTGGTGTGAT